CTCAGGCCACCCTGCCGCCGTCGGGCACCCGCTGTGCCAGCCAGCCCTGCGAGAGGAGCGATGAGCACTGCGATGTGTCCGCACAGGACCCCACGGTACGCGGGGCTGCCTGGGGTGAGGGACACAGCTGTGATGGGGAGGGATGTGGGATGTGCTTGTGGTGAGCTGAGGAGCCCGAGGCACTCAAACTCTGCCTGGGAACCTGGGTGTGCTGCTCCGTGCCTCGGTTTCTGTGTGTGACCCTCTGAGATGCCCTTGCTGGCACAGCAGTCCCGGCTGGAGCTGCTGAGGCAGCCGTGTCCTCTGAGGGGCTGTGCTGCAGGGCACGCTCCCCAAGGAGGCAGGATCAGCCTGTGCCCAGGACTGTGCCCGCTGCACTTTCTGCATGCATGTGACAGCAGGTGATGGCTCCCATGTGGGGCTGACGAGGATTTCCTGCTGCCTCATCCCAGATAGGGAAGGTGACATGAGCAGGCCGGGCACTCATCCTGCTGGGACAGCTGGTTTGGCTGGTGCTGGCTCTGCCACAGTGACTCGGTGCCCAGCGATGCCAGCTCCCTGGCACCATCCACTGCTGCCAGTTTGGGGCCCGGTGCCGCAGCCTGTGTGGCACCACGGGTTCCCCATGGCAGTACCACCCACACGTGCTGGCAGGTACTCGGTGCCCCGTGTCCCCATCAGTGCTGCAGCATCCCCAGAGCCCCAGCTCAGGCCAGGAGCAGGCACCGCACACTCAGCCCGTGCAGGGGAGCAGCCTGGTAATTTTCCACTCAGGTTTCCTTCCAAGATCTGGCCAGGCTCTGCCTGCATTGTCTCCCGCTGTCTTTCCAGTCACCCTCCATTCCCCCATGGTCTGACCTGCCCTTTGCTTTCCTGCGTCTCTGTCCCACTGCCATTCGCCGAACCATGAGAAATCCTGTCCTGCTCGCAGGGAAGCAGAAAAGAATCCCCCAGCATTTTTTCCCTTTGAAGCCAGTGTCCCCACATCCCTCTCTGTGCCCCTTCCCCAGTGCCTTCCCCCACAGAACCACCTTCAGCAGTGCCCTGCCGTGGTGTGGGACCCCCTGTGCCCACCTGCCCCATGCCTGGCCCCCAGGCCTGGGATGAGGGAGCGGGCTGGTGAGTCAGGGCAGTGGAGGATCAGTGCTGTGGAAGGGAATTCCTGCCTCCCCCTCCCACACCAGGCCTGGCTGGGGGGCTCCAAGGGGGGATCCAGCAGCTGCTGCACCACTGGCTCTCGCTAAAGCCGGCACTGCCACTGCAGGGTTCCCACCCCACGTGCCCACACATTGCTGTGTGGGGTGCCAGCCTGCTCCTGTGGGGCAGCAGGGACTGTGCAAGTCCCAACCCACAGTCTGCACATGAACCCAGCCTAGGCTGATGGGTGGCAAAGGTGGCAGAGGGTGCTGGGACAGACACCCATGCCAGGGCAGACCAGGTCAGTGACACTGGCTTAGGTTTCCTTGGTGCTTTGATGGGCACACCTGCTATTTTCCATTGCTGTGGTTTATTCCCTCTCTTTCCCAAGCCGGGACACAAATGTCCCGGTCGTAAACCAGAGCTGGCTGCCTGCGGCCGTGCCAGGTGCCGGAAACAAGCGCAGGCTGCAGCCCCGGAGCTGCCATCCGTTCTGCCCCACTGCCCAGCCCCGAGGGCAGTGTCAGCAGCACCCGCTCCTGACGCAGCCAGGCCACAGCGGGGCTGGCCCCATGCCTCCTCCCATCCCTTTTTCCATCGCTGCCTCCCGCCTCTGCACCAGGGACACCGCCATGCAGAGGAGTTTGCAGCCAGCAGTGAGGTTGGCTCTGCATTCCCTATCCTCACCATCACTTTGTGCCTCAGTTTACCCCGTGGGCAAAGGGAAGTGTGTGAAGGTGTGATTTCAGCAGGGGGCTGTGCCTGCGGAGCTGCAGGGCTGTGCTGGCTCCTGGGAAGGGCACTGTGGTGAGGGGCAGGACTGGGGCTGGGACTGGGGCTGTGCTGGCTCCTGGGAAAGGCAGTGTGGTGAGGGGCAGGACTGGAGCTGTGCCGGCCCATTAACCACCCTGGGTGTACATAGGGTCAGAAGGCCAGGGCCACCCACAAAACGCCGGCAGCTCTCCGCAGTCCCATCCTGAGCAGCTGACGTCCCTGGCCCGCAGCCAGTGCTGGCTGGCCCTGCCTGCTGCCGTGGTGCACCGCTGCAGAGGGGCCAGCTGAGGGCAGGGACCTGCTCTGGGTGATGCCATCCCACCGGGTGTCCCCTTCTCTCTCCCGCCCTCAGAGCTTGCGCGCTGCTCTCTGGCTGGAGGCGAATTTGGGCCTTAGCCCAGGGCGCTCGATGTCACCGGGACACGAGGTTGAACACGGGATGTGGCTGAACCGCCCTCTTGCCATGGAACCGGCTCAGCCAGCACGGTGCATCCTCATGGGGAGAGCTGCCCCAGCTCCCTGCACAGCACTCAGGGCTGGCTGTGCCCATCCTGCCCCCACAGTGCCACCTGCACTGCCAGGCAGGGTGGCAGGAGACCTGGATTTTGAGGAGCTGTGCCACAACCTGGAGGCCCTGGGTTGGAGGCTTTTGGGGGGCTGTGCCACAGCCTAGAGACCCTGGGTTGGAGGATTCTGGGGGGCTGTGCCACAGCCTAGAGACCCTAGGTTGGAGGATTTTGGGGAGCTGTGCCATAGCTGGGAGGCCCAGGGTTGGAGGTTTCTGGGGAGCTGTGCCACAGCTGGGAGGCCCAGGGTTGGAGGATTTTGGGGAGCTGTGCCACAGCCTAGAAGCCCAGGCTGTGCCCCTGGGCACGGCAGGGCACCCAGGCAGGGCAGGAGGGCGTGTGCCCCGCCGTGCACACTGTGTCCCCGTGTGTGTACGCCGTACACAGCACGGGGTGTGTACATGTACACACGTGTGAGCACGCGCAGGCCTCGGTTACGACAGCCCTCCCGTTGTGATGCAAAAGAGCCCTGCAGATGAATAACGCTGCAAGATGCCTCCTCAGATATTTTTGCTGGTGCCAAAAATAGTCTCCCTGCCTTCCTCCCTCCCCTCCCTCCGTCCCCAGCCAGCCCCTCCGCTGCTTGACAGAGAGGCTGCATCTGCAGCCAGCAGGATCCAACAGCTCCTGCCTCTGGATGGGGGTGTTCTGGGGGCTCCAGAGGAGGAAAGGAGGCTCTGTTAGAGCCCTCTTGGTTAGGTTGGAGGCTGTGGCTCTGTCAGAGCAGCACAGCCCCACTCCCTGCCCATGGAAATTTCCCTGAGCAGGCAGAGGAACACCTGGGCACGCACAGCAGGCGCAGGGCTCCGGCGCTCGTCCTGCCGCGGTCAGAGGGGTGAAGCAGCGGGAGACGCAGGACGAGGACGCAGGACAGCCGGGCTCCCTGCCAGTCCCCGCATCTGCCCTTGCTGCAGGAGAAGAGCTGGAGCCCTGCCCGTGCCGTGCCTCAGTTTACCGAGGGGAGACGCCAGGTGGGGTCTTTGCTCCACGCAGGAATTGCGGGGAGTTTTTCCCCAGCACAGGGCACTGAAATATCCCCTGAGCTCAGCGCTAATGCATCCCCCAAAGAGGGGGGTTCCCCCAAAATGTCACTGCCTGGGAACCTGGCATTGGCATTGCAGGAAAGGCACACGGCTGTGAGACCCATAACCCTGTCTGGCATCCCGCAGCCCCTCTCTGGCTACAGGCACCCCCTGCACCCCATTGCTTTCACCCCGGCAATTTTGGCGAGTAACCCCCAGTTAGGGAGCCC